CACATTCAAATAAAAGTGACACACTCATCAAACAGTGGATTGTTCAATACTTGTTCCTTTCTTGTTTGAAGAGGTGAATTAAATCTAAATTGAAATCTTCCTTATTCTAAGCAACCCTAGAAAACCAGGTTTATAAGAAAACTGTAATGAGAAAAAAGAGATGTAGCACTATTCTTACTTCCCTTAAGAAACAAGGTTAGTCAACCATATATTTTTATAGGATTGTCATTCATTTCTTTAAACTTTAATCAATGACCTTTATTGAAAAAATAGTAATGAGTAGTAATGTTTTTCCATCTTTAAAAGGATGTAAGTAGTAAATCATTAATTGATGGCTCAATACAATTCTGTGTTCTCCATCTACTGCAATAGCTTATTAATATACAGTTTAAAAGGAGCAAGATACTGTAAGATACTAAGGCTTATCATAACTGTTACAAATCAAACTGATTTTTGGATTAAAATAGTTTTAATTGTTTTTAAAGTTTGTATAAAACATTGAAACATTCCTCACTTATGTTATAATTTAGGATATATTTACATACACTGTTGAGCACTGTAGATGTGAAAATTAAGCACTGATTGGACAACTGGGTATCCCTAAGACTGAATGTGCTAGACAGATTGAAATGCCACCCGTACATTGACAACCTGTTTTATGCCTGTCTGGAGTTAAGAACTCCCAGGCTAATGGACTATTATTGACTGCAGAGAACACTTTCAACATACTGCAGAAACCATATTTCACTGGTTTCAATATCCTCTGCAGTCTGCAGGTTTTCAGTCTCGGTCCCTTACATTTGACAGTTACATAATTGAGCACTAAAGTGAACTAATAAGACGAACTTAAACTAAATGTTTTCTGCTCTTGAACATGTTAGATGATGCCCTTTAAATATTGCATTTCATCATAATCATCTAAAAAATCTCCACCTTTTGAATAGGCAAGGCTAAAAGTGAGGCATTCACTCAAGCAACTTGCCAGATCAAACAGATTCCTTAATGGTTTGGTATAAATAATGACTTGCTGTTGCACAGCACTGCATTTTTATTCTTATTTGCATATACTGCAGGCTTTGACTGGCTGTTGAAAAAACTGGAGCTTACAGCTGACACAGACTGAATATCTGCACCCTGAGCTGTGCAGGTTGCTGCTTTTGAACAGCATTACCACCCAGACTTTGCCCTTGGTTGGCACCAAGGGTGTTAAGGGCTGAATTCAGCAGGTGTATGGGTCCCTGAAATTAGGATTAGGAACCCTTGCAGTGGTGAAAACATTGATTAAAGAATAACAGACATGTGATTCGTTCACTTATTATTAACGTTTGTGGACTTGGTGAATCTCATCACAGTCTCACTTCCAACCCATGCCGAAGAACAGGCAACAAGGCCCTCCAATGTTTTTTCTGAGACACAGTGTTAATGCACAGGAAAAACAATGGAAGGTTCAGAACTGTGGCACACAAACTAACCTAAATCCTTTCCCTCTGTTTCACAAGGTAGTTCAAGAGCTTGGCAGGAGAAAGGCATTCATATTTGATCTAAATATCACACACACCCAGATCTTCACAACTCTTAAGAGACATTTCCAGTGGAATTATTTCATGTGCTTCCAAGTGCAACTGGGAAAAATCCTAAAGATAGTATAAATTAGTCATCTAAACAGCCTTCTGAAGGGAAATGCTTTCATCTTCACTTAGTTTAAGGAGCTGCAAATTTGTAAAATTCATTGTAAAGGAAATAAATTGCTCAAGTGAAAAAAACAATTAGTATTCTCAAAAAAGTCCTTTAAATCAGACGCAAAGACTTGTTTTTTTCCCATTTAAACAAAAAAGCATTAAAGTAATTAAAACACCATTAAAACAGGACAATAATGGCTCATTCCAATCAAAAAGATATCATAGACAGATGCAATCAATCATGCCACATCGCTATTTACTACACATGCAATTTGACTTGAATGTCTGCAATTAAATAATAATTTGAAAAGCTGCATCTCAGATTTTAAATCATCAAACATTTGCTTACCTTAGCCTCACGCTTCAGTGAAAAGAAATATAGGGTTAGTCAAAATGCTATCAACAACTTTGATATTTATGCTTTTGTTTGAAACCTTTTTTGTCACAGTGATCCATGTAATTAACTTGCAATAAACTGTCAAAGTTTCTAACTGTTACCTTACAATCCTTTGCCATCTGTGGAGGAGAAAACAAAACTTATACAAAAATAATTGGCATTTATACTCGTCAACAACATTTTGACTAACCCTGTATATACAAAGTTTTCAAACTAGAAAAATCTGAAGGCTGAGAATTGGATGACTTTTTGCATTTATCCTGATTTTAGGAAACTAGAATTATTCAGACTATCACAGAGGATTTGTGTGGCTTTCAATTTGTACGAGACAGCATGAGGGGAGCTTCCCTGCACTAACAGAGGCACAGTGTCTTATGCTGGGAGCTTCGCTTCAGCTTCTGTCTGAAGGCAGCCCTCGTGGCCTCTTCCACACCCACCCCACCGAGGTCTACAAGCAGAGGTCACCCCCTTCTGGTCTACAAGCAGAGGTCACATTTTCAGGTCTACAAGCAAAGGTCACCCCCTCCGGGTCTACAAGCAGAGGCCGCCCCCTTTGTGGACAGGCAGTTGGAAGAGAAGTCCATACGCACTCCATTCAGCACTAAGATCTCTCCATTATAATCCTGCAGTGTGCATAAAGATAGGAAACACTGCCCTTCATTTCTACACCCCGAGAGCCCTCTGAAATGAGCTCTTTCATTACTGTTAGAGTGCTCTGCATACTGTAATGATAATTCTAAGGTGGGCTTTACCAGCAGTCCAATGGGACACTGTGGCGAGACTGTGGATAATTCATTCAAAATTTACGCAATTCTAACAAATTGATTAGGCCCTGAAGTTTACTCAGCACACAAGCTCCCAGATTTATCCAGGAGCAGGAGCTCTTGATATTTACTGGTTATTGCGCTAGACATATGAAACACCCATTTCAAATCCACTAAATTAATAACACAAAATACAACATTACAAATACCACGGCTACTGTTAATGACTATCGTCTGGATACTTTGAACTGAGACTTTTAGAGGCTGAAAACAGCTAATTGGAGTCCTAATTTAAATTGAGTATCAAATTTAAGGAGCAAAACTAAAAAAAAAAACACCTTTAGAGCTCCAGAGGGTTACATCAGAGTAACAGGCACATGTATCAGCCAGTTCAATTTTATCATCTTTAACTGGGTGTAGTCACTGAGTAAATACGCCTAGTGATAATTAGATTGTAGTCTTTTACCCTGTGCCCATGCCACAGTAATTCTGTCATACTGTTCTACGTCTGACTTGACCATTCCTTTGTATCTGGAGGTGAAATTTAAGAAATAAAATGTAATTCATCAGGAGCATTCACAGGGGAAGTGTTTGTTTCACTTTAGACACTAGACAGATATACCATATAATAATAAAAATAATTCCTTACACTTATATAGCGCTTTTCTGGACACTCCACTCAAAGCGCTTTACAGGTAATGGGGACTCCACTCCACCACCACCAGTGTGCAGCATCCACCTGGATGATGGGACGGCAGCCATAGTGCGCCAGAAAGCTCACTTTACACCAGCTATCAGTGGGGAGGAGAGCAGAGTAATAAAGCCAATTCATAAATGGGGATTATTAGGAGGCCATGATTGGTAAGGGCCAATGGGAAATTTAGCCAGGAAACCGGGGTTACACCCCTACTCTTCTCGAGAAACGCCCTGGGATTTTTAATGACCACAGAGAGTCAGGACCTCGGTTTGACGTCTCATCTGAAGGACTGCGCCTGTTTACAGTATAGTGTCCCCGTAAACTGGGGCATAAGGACCCACATGGACCACAGGGTGAGCGCCCCCTGCTGGCCCCACTGACACCTCTCCAGCAGCAACCTTAGTTTTTCCCCAGAGATCTCCCATCCAGGTATTGACCAGGCTCACACCTGCTTAGCTTCAATATAAAACATTGAAGCTTTCCTTATTTATGTACAATGGCATAATATTGTATTGATATACCAAAATACAGAATGATACTAAGAAGACCGTGAAATACTGCTAAAATATGAGTAGCAACATCAACCATCCAGTTTGTTTCCAAAATACACCATCCATCAAGCCTAAGACAGGAGCCCGCTTTACAGTTTCTTTCCTTTTTAAAAAACCTCACTGGTCACTTGTTCTGGTTTACTTAGAAAAATAAGTCATAACATCATAAAGCTGTGCAGACATTGCCTCCAAACTCAAAAAGACCAGACCTCAACCAGAAAAATGTCTCTTATGTGAATATTTAATTTCACAATATGAAAAAAATCTGTAAGCTTTCCTATCCGATGCTTGCAATCAGTCAACTGTCAGAGGCACTCTGCAGAAAATTAGGATGCGTCTAGCCTAGGTGCCTTGCAGCAAAATTTGAAGCCTTAAATGCCTTAAAAGCTAAAAATGTGCAGGTCAAGTATTTGACAGGACAGGAGCTGGTGAAAAATGAATCACTGACAAAAGAAAAAGGCAGACACAAAATTTGATAATGCTTGGAACGGGAGTAATGTACAAACACCCAGAGCAGAATCTTGGAGGACAAAAGTCAAAATACAAATGGAGGTAAATGAAAAGCTATCAAATGAACGATCATGTCATAACACAGCTATACAACAGCTTCTTACAAGATTCCTAATACACTTCATACGAATGCTGTAATTAAGTGTAAGAACCTGTACATAAACAAGAACTGATTACCGAATGTCAGCATTCTCAGGCCAGAACTCAAACAATGCTTCTCTGCACTGTCTTATTGCAAATGGGTCAACATGACAACTACTGAAACATCCCGCGAGAGCCCAGCGGATCCAATTATAAAGCACCAAGAAGACAGCAGAAAACAGCACAAACAGTTCTACAGTATATGTCTGCATATAAAGGAGACTCTCCCCCTTTCTGTCACAAATCTTGCCAGTTACTCACCATCAGCCAGATCCTTTGCCATCTTCTTCAAGTACTTTTCATCCGTCATCTGAAAATAGAAATAAAATAATACAACATACAGACTAATGCTAATTCGTCACTGACTAAAACAGGAAGAAAATTTAAAATCAGACCTCTTCTGGTAAAGATGATTCTCCACTCTTCACCACAGTTGACTGGCTGCAATAAGATAAAAAATATTTTATAAAATCTTAAAAATTCAAAAAATAATATCCTTTTCTAAAACTAAAGAAGGGTATGTGTGTATTCCATAGTAACACTGCTCTTCAGATTTGAATGGATAGTGAAAGCTATATTTAATAACTACATACTTATACTCATTCTAATTTTAAAATTGTGTTCATTGCAATGCCGATATTTTGGTTCCTCTGAATTATCTTGGTTGTTGAAAAGGTAAAAAAATTGAACAAAAGCTCAAACATAGAAGGGTGATACTTTGTAAAGATTTAAAATTGATTTGTTGAAAATAAGTACCAAACTACTGCCCCGTATTAAATATTTAAAAAATATTCCTGTTTCACTGGGGTATAAACTGTATAAAACAAGGTAACAGGCATGTAAAATCCATTTGCCGACAATTACCATGGGGGAAGGCCAAAAACTCACAAATAAAAAGAGACACCTGGTTTTATAAACATATAACACACATAGCCTAGCTGCTGTTTAAAATGTCACATGGCTGTACAGCTTTGTGAAGGGGGTATGTGACGTGAATGAAGCCTGGATCGGAAAAAGCTATAGAAACAGAAGATTAAACTAAAAAAAAAAATTCATAATATTAACATCTGAACAAGCACCTGGCAGTAGTAAAAATGTGAACTATTAAGACAAAAATAACTGGTACAATACATGTACTGTATTAATTGCAATATTGGTCGTAAACAGTAGAATTGCTAATATATTTGCCATTGTGTTAACAGAGTTTATTTCACCACTGAAATATAAATAATATAGAATAATTACAACACAAAACAATTATTGGTTTTCTAATTTTCTAATTACTTCATGTACACAGTTATTAATTATTGCATACAGTATAGAGTGCTTATAAAACTTACAATATTATGTGATTTGGGATAAATCTCATTTGGAATTGTCATGGTCATTGTGTTAATGATGTTGAAATGTTGTTCAACCAATTGTGAGAGAAACTTTTGGATTTCATGAGAGGCATTTAATAATTTTCTAAAATAATTTGAAGGTCTAATAAAATTGTCTATTTTAAATGGAACAGGAAATATCTGCTTCACAGCATGTAGAATTTAATTGTGCATGAGCCAAACACATGGACAAAAAAACTACATTTCCTGATGTACCACGCACATGAATGAATTTCGTGAAGTAATATCTACAGATATCCAAACTATGGATTATATAGTATTAGTGTCACTCCTGCAGATTCCCTTCATCTAGATTCCATTACTTACAGCCCTGTTGCAAGCAATCATTAAAATATTAAAATGTTTCAAGCAGTGAATACTACATCATAATGGCAAATTGTAATATTAATTTTAAAATATATTGATCTAGATATAGTGCAGACTTGTATCAGCCCCAATCCAACTTATAGTACAGTACATAAGAGTAATTTAAATCACTATAGAAAACGTAATTCTATTACTGTAATTCTAGTATTAAAACATAATTCAATTAGTGTTATGAAGTTTGTATCTATCTCATTTGGAGTAGTGGTAGCAATGTGGTACAAATATCAATGCCTCAAAGTAATCATTGTATTTACTGAAAGATGACCTTTGCTTCCTGGCCTGCCTTTCTCACACCTGAAGAAGGCTCCACGGCCAAAACGTTGTGTTTTCTTTCTTCTCTCTTCAGCACAGAATAAACCTATTGATTGTTCCTTTGCAGCCTACGCATGCTGACGCAGCTCCCCACCTGAACTACATATACTGTACTGTATGTACAGCACACATTAGTGCAGTCAAGCACCAATGGCTTAATAAATATTTCATAGTGTACCGATTTGTGGGACAGCCACTCACAGCTGCCATCCTGTAAGGGACTGACTGCGCCAATTGGCATTTTTACACAGTAGTGCCGTACTCCATCTAATTATTCTAAAAAATGAAAAAATATGTCCATTATATTGCAGTGCCTACAGTATTATACCAGCTGACACCTTGGGTATTCTAGATGGATGCATCTGTACCACTTACCATTGTTATGGCAATAATTAAGAAGTTTAAAGCCACTGGAACAAGTGTATCTTGCCCCCAGGCACAGTGAGGAAGACGGCTCAGGAGGCAAAGATAAGGCAAGGGCCACAGCTGGAGAATTACAGAACTTGGTGGATTCTTGGGGTCAACAAGTCTCCAGATCTACAATCAGACATCACCTCCATGCTAATGGGCAATTTGAAAGGGCTGCCAGAAAACAAAAACTTTTACCAACCAACTAATAGAACTGCCTGGAGTTTGCAAGATGGCTCCGGCACATGGACTGGAGCTGGGTGCTATAATCAGATATGACAGAAATAGAGCTCTCTGGTTAGGTACACAAGCAGTGGGCATAGTACATGACAGTCACTTAAATCTCTACACAAAACTTAATTTTATCATTGTAATTCTATTATTACAAGAGAACTGAAAGACAGATGCGTATGCAGATACAAACACGATAAATGGTGGATCTACAGTACAGGAGATCCGTGAAGCTGGCCGCCATGCAAACAGCACAAACAATATAACCCGTCGCATTCGTTAGTGAATAGCGTAGCTAATTGCTGAATGTGAGAATAACAGCCGCAATTTGCTTTCTACAGTATGTCTGTCCGTTTTGGATATTTTGAGAAAGAGTATTTTCTGTGTTTGTGTGAATAGCAAAATTAAATCTCTCTCTAATATCTTAATGTTACAGTACCATTAAGTGTTTAAGAGTTGGTGTTTTAGACTTTAAAAGGGAACATTAGGAAACAACTGCAGTTTCTCAAAAACTAGCATGTCATAATACTTGCTATATAATACATAATACTACATCATGAAGCTGTGTGTTAAACAGTTTTTAAACTGAAGATGTAAATCTAGGGAGTTTTTCATTATATTCTTATGAAATAAATATACAATTCACAAGATGTTTAAAGTTTCAACCCATCATACGAGTTAAGTATCTATTCTACATTGCTAAACAGAAAGCAGATTTTAGAATCTGGAGGGCCAGAAGGTTCTGGTACTGTAAACATGTCGGAGTGCAAATAGCTCAAACTAATGATTAGGTATTTTAGAGGCCAAACAGTATAATTTCAGTTTTGTCAAAATTCAGATGTAAAAAAAATGGTATTAATTCTTTAACAAAATATGGTTGAAGAAAACAATGTTTTAAATGAAATGGAGAATGTATCATGCAAGTGTTTTTTGTAAGTGTATTTGCAAACTGGAAATCTGATACAAATTTAATAGGTTTAGCTTGTACGTACTGCTCAGAAAACAATAACATCTCCTATCCAGACATCATCTAATAAACTTAGTTTAGGTTTCGCTTTTGATACTACTTGAACACTTCAGGGATAACAGTGAAGATACAATTTAAGTCAAGAGCATTGACTTCATTTCCCATCCAGGTGCATCGACTGAATAACATCAGAGCTCATACACTTGAGCAAGACTCACAGATGACAACACATACAGATCTTGTATCAAGACTTTAGCTTTTCTTTGTATAGCATGTAGGGGGTGTGGCATCATCTTGATTAAAAAATATCAATCTTCCTGTTAATAATATTGATAATTCCCTGTGTAAGTGTTTATATTTTTCAGCAAATCAAAAACAAACCCAACCTTTTAGAATCCATAACAGCTAATAAAATGACCAAGATCATTTTAGCCATTAAAGTCTTATGGCTTTACAGTATGTCCATACAGAGCAGATGCATTGGCAATATCTGGCTTCGCAACCTATCACAGTTTCAATCCACTTGTTTCTCCTCAGGTTTCTGGCTTATTACAACCCTTTTGTCTTATTTCTTGTACCCTGGCTGCTCAGTACTATTTCAGAGTTGGTTATTTCAGCTCGGCTTTTTCTATTTGGTAGAACAAGTGTTTTTCAGGATCTCTACCAACACACCTGGGAGAAATGAGACCCTGCATTTTCTTCTTACTCTTTTCCCTGTAATCCTCTCTGCTCATTCAATTCCCCGACTCTGAACATTTTAAAATATTGCTATTTTCCTGATGGATTTTAAAAACTCATGGTACTCATATTTTTGCTAAACTTGGAAGCCTCTCTCAAATCCTGTGCTGTGAAACAGCACTAGAACGGGTTAGGGGTTATTCTCTTTTGTTCTCCAGAGTGAAATAATTAAACATTTGACAAAAATTTAGTCAATATTGGAAAAATAACAACAGCCAAATACAATGTTAAATTTGTATTTTGTCCCAAAGCTTTATTTGTTCTTGGAATCATGTACAATTATTTAATGATTTCCTGTTTAAGTTTACTATACACTAATATCCAATAAAGATGAAATGCACAGTTGGGTAATGTTTTAGATGATTCAACAACTAAAGAATCAGAATGTATAACCAAATGACAAATTCACATGGACATGCGTGAACTCTGATGCTCATAAATTAAGATAAAAATTCAAACATCTGAAATTACTGCAATATGAATGACTAACCAAGGCTTCACGTCTGTACCAAACAAAAAATGCTATGTACACTACTTATAAAAGAAATGCAAATACTTCCATTTCCAATTCCAGAAAGATACAGACTAAGAGCTGAAAAATAGCCATGCACTGTGAAGTAAAAAATCTTTTGAGTGCTACAAAATGTGCCATTCTCTGAGAAATACGATTTACAACACAGTCCTGATTTAATCCAGTGATTAAGTAGAGTAGGATTTTTTACCACATTTTTCCCACTCTTGAGAGAATCTTCATTTACTTGTAACTGTGATGTTTAAATTAATGTATGGTCCCTCCTAGCTTTGCGGCCCCGTGTCAAAGTCTGACACTTATTTCCTATATACAGGAAACATGAACTCAAACCTAATAATCCTCATCCTTTTACAGTTCTCCACACGTGAAAATCGAAATATCACCACCCCACACGCACACAAAGAAATACGGAACTGCACATTCCAGCAATCTCTCTGCCAGCACTTCAAGCACCAACTTACAGGCCATGTCTAAGCACAGCATCCTCGCGCCAGATTTAAACACCATGGTAAAGACCATGAACACCATGGAGTCGCAACAGCATTTGTACAGAATGTCATTTATTTAATGCATCCTTACAGTTATGAGTTTCTAAACAAAGTATAATTCTTACATTTACCTAGAACTTCATACATAATTGTTCTGGTTTAGATATATTAAAACCCTGTTTATTATAATCCTGTCAATAAGAATTAACACGGATAAGGGTGAAATAATGCTGTACCTTACTCATACTGTCACTAAATTTCACACTAGGTTACAGTCAATTCATTGGTAATTAAATACATCTAAAAACATAGAGGTAAAAATAAATTATACAAAAGGATCTACCAGCTTCCAGTTTCCAGTTTCCTCCTGAGAAATCTTAGAAAACAAGCCGGGCTGATCCAGGATAGTAGTGGAACCTTTTAAGAAAGCCCGGTTTGTGTGCTCAGCGGGTGGAGTGGTGTCGGCGGACCAGTAGGCCAAACCAATACTCCAGTACAACAGCAGGGCCATGGACACTGAGGAGGAGGAGGAAGCTAAGGTCCCAACTGCCTGTTTGTTAACCACCCCGCAGCACTGCTTAGTAGAACAGGGGGTTAAGCCTTGAGTCCTGCCTACTAAAAGGTCTCTTATTTCAGTGGCTGAAGTAATGTGAACCACAGGATGGATAAAGCGGTTCTCCACCTATGTGTGAAGCATTTTGGGAATGTAAAGTGTTATAAGATCACTTTATTGTCCACATACAATTTCTTGCATTGGGAATTTGTCCTTTCGCATATCCCAACTTGCTCTCCATGAGACACACAGACAGGGAGAGAAGCTGGGGGTCAGAGCGCACGGTCAGCCATTTATACGGGGCCCCTGGAGCAGTTGGGGATAAGGGCCTTGCTCAGGGGCCCAGTGGAGTAGGATTCCTCTGCCGGCCACGGGATACGAACTGGCAACCTGCCAGCCACAGGTGCAGATCCTTAGCCACAGAGCCACCAGTAAAGGCCATTATTTTATTTAACATGGGCAGTAACCATGTCGCTCTTAAAGCTATACTATTCAAAGTAGTCCACTACTGAATAACTACTGAACCTGACCAGCTTATAGCCATCTAGTATTTCTGTTAACTGACTTGAAATGTGCAGAAAGGATTTCTGGTGCCGACAGTGTTTTTCAAACACTGGTGCATTTCAAATTGGATCACTCAATGAAAACAAAAGGGCTGTCAGATTCGTAAGAGTTTCCTTTTAGCAAATTAAAAATAATAATTTGTAATTATAAAACCCTACAAATTTTAAACAAGTCTACCACCTTAAGTAAAATAAGTTGAAAATACATGATGTATATACTGTACAATATACAATGTCAAAGTGGTCAATGTCAAAAGGACTGAACAAAAATGGTGCTCAGTCAGGCATGCTAAGCAACTATTACTGAGCCATTTGACATTCATTTCAAAAGTGAAAGAAAAGCAATGTTTATTTTCTGTCCACTGAACACAACGTTCTTGAGCTATTGTTCCTTAATAGAGAATTCAACTGTATCACAATAACTAGATTTTCTTAAAGGTTAATGAATCCTGTGATTCACAGGAAAAAAAATAATCCAACAGATGAATGTAATTACAAAAGTTATAAAACTAAATGAAAGGCAATAAAACCCACATAATTCAGGCCTGAACTGTTCTCAATACTTGAAGAACAACATAAAGCTACAGTATATTTGAATGGCTATAAGAAAAACGTGTTGACAAGACGGAAGCAACTATCTTGAGATCTACCTTTTTTTGTTCAAAAGAGACATAAAAAAACATCGTTTATAGTTAAGCACTGACCATTTCAAATCTCGAATAAGAACTTTATTACTTTATTTCAGTGCAGTTTCATAAAGCGCTTGCCTTTCCTTTTAGCAATATGATTGTTAAAATGAACTTTCTGCTTTCTTTAGGACAACAATTTCAAAGCATTTAGCTATTGTAGTCAGTTTATTTACCATCCGACTACAGAAAACTGATGAAGTGATGTACTTGTTTAGTTCTCAGCTGATCTCGCAGCAGAGTGAAGACAGGAAATGTTGTGCTCACCTTGCTGGTGTCTTTTTCTTCCACAGCAGAGACCAGCTCTCTTGCTGTGTCTTGAAGGGCTGATCCCGTCTGCTCTCTCTCTCCTCAGGTTCATTCGCATCACCTTCGGAGGCTGAAGTTACAAGAAAGCACTAGAATGATTAGACAAAATCCTAAAATTAAAGATAATATTGTCTTAGTTATAGCCGTTATAATTCCTTGCACCTACAGTATATGGGTACAGCACATTTCCCCAAAGTGCTTCACATGTAAAGGGAGAGGCACTGCATCTGTCGCTGAAGTATAGGACCCCCTTGACTGCAGCCATCCACTCACCATGTAGAGTACCAGCAGCCCCACACACAGCAGATAAAGTCACTAAGTATAACAGTCATTATATTGAAGGAAATCGTCACTATGCATACAGTATGATTAGAGCAGGAAAGCACTAATGGGTTAATAAACAGTTAACACTGTACCAACAACCACATGCAACTGCAGTACTTTAAGGATTCACCACAACACCTGGTAGTTTCACAGGGAAGCCGAGTTCTGCATCACAATTATTTCTGCATCATAAAAGCAGCTGTGCTGTTGTCCGTAATACCGCGGTGCCTACCATGGTATACCAACTGACACCTCGCGCATTCCAGATCGCTGCATCCATAGATTGGCGTTAGTTCAAAACCAAAATGCTACAATATCTCACACAATAATACCCTGACATGTTCCAATAATCCCAGGTTTCAGGTACCTCATCGGAGAGTGCCACACCACCTCAAAGCCTACAGAAATAAAAGCAGTGATACAGTATCACTATAGGTTTGTACAGTAAACATTGTGGCTCCTGGAAAGGAAATCTAACAAGACAAGCACAGAAATCAAACTTTTAGGCAGTAAACGCTGTTCATATTGACAGACCGCAGCTCAGCTTCATGTCTCAAACAGTGATGTATCAAACAGGGAGTGTGTGAGACCAGTACTGTTGAGAGTGGAAGAGATCAAGGAAAAAGAAACTCTGCAAACTCGTGGCAAGTTCCTCTGTGAAAACTCTCTGACAGCTGACGATCAATAGATATCAATAGATAACTCAAGAATAACCCTGGTGGAAATACGAGAGTTAACATTCTTCAGTCACAGTAAAATGCACCTTATCATCTTTCTTTTTCCTTTGCAGGATTAAATCTTATACTGTGCCGGAACCCAGAAATTAGATATTTCCCCGGTCATATGTAAACCTTAAAATTTCCCATGTTAATAAAATTAAAAAGCCCCAATTTGAAGAAATTAAAAATACAGAAATTTTAAAAACATATTCTGAATGCTTAGAAACAATTATTTTGTTACCCAGCTTCAGTTTAATACTTTTCTACTGTAGTACAATTAAGGCTTTAAATTAGACCTGTGGCAATATGCTGAGATATTACATGACATCACACAGCCCATTTGCAATAACATGAGGTCAAAGTGGGGAGATTTAAAAAGTATTATGAGCTCAAAGTGGGGAGGAAAGGAACAAGTAAAGGTTCATTCCCTGCTGAAAAGAGAAGAAAAGAAATGCAACGTTTCAGCTGTGGAGCCTTCTTCGGGCCTCGACGACATCTGTAGCAGAATAGGAGGTGGTGAGAAAGCCTGGTCTTGGAACAGATCGCTGTGACGAGACAGCATGGCGGTTCAATGAGAGAGGGGGTTCAAGTAGCCCAGGGTGGAGGAGAAGGAATGACATCTAGACACACAGCAGTGCTGGGTCACAGCAGAAGTAGGCTAAAGAAGTTCAAGTAGGTGTCACACCTGAAGACGGCTCCACAGCCAAAACGTTGTTTCTTTTCTTCTCTTTTTAGCATGGAATAAACCCTGACTTGTTCCTTTGCAGCCTGCGCATGCTGACGCAGCTCCCCACTTGATCTACTAAAAAAAGTGTCACCAACAGCCCACAGAACACCATCCAACGTCATGAGAAATTCCTGCATTCAGATCTGCATTCCTCTTGTGCTGCCCTTCAACTCCAAAACCCTTTCAATGGCCGATTTTATAGGACGACCACTCAACCAACCGGAACCATTTTTCAGTCCCATCAGCCATCTTGCACGGCTGACTACCCAAGCTTCGCCATCCGCACCAGCCTGTACCACCTGTATTCGGCACTCATAAACGTGACCCCTGTAGCCAGTTCAGCATCATCCAGAGAGCATCATGCGTACCCAGCAACCTCACCTATCGCGTGCCCTGCTATTTTTATTGGTGAAGACTGGCTGAATGTTTCAGGGAATACATCAGAGCAGACATCAAAGAGCTCTCCAAGCCAATAAGTCGCCATCTCATCCCTCACTGCCATGATAACAAAACCTCCTGCATCCTGTCACAGGGTTTCCCCAACTCTTATTCCCAAGATCATCCTTGAACTTGGATCGCACCTTCTTCCATCCCTCAAGCTCCACATTCATGTACACACTAAGCTTTTCTCACTTCATTCACTTGAACACTTTCTCACCTTTTATGCTCTGTCTTTTGTTCTCACTTGCTTTACATCCCTGTGCCGCTTCTCTCTCCCCAAAAAAGGTCAACAGCCCAGCAGTGTTTCTCTTGATACTTCTGTAGCACGGAATGTATAGCTACTTATTCCTATAACAGCTATAAATGAGTTTAATGTACATTAAACATGACAAACATATCATTGGTTCATTACTATGGGGTCTACGAGATAAGGTACCCGTTAATAAGATTTTAAATCGTATTGCTAGGTTAATAATGCACATACTAGCAAGAAAGATTTATGTTGGACAGAACTTTGCATTTCTATACGAAAGTGCTTGCTTCCATGCCATCATATAGATAGAGCATTCAAAAGTTAATCAAAGAAGACAACCATGCAAGTTCATGCTTCAGATTTCTTTCCTATCTGTATTCAAAAACTGTTGCTAGCTGTTGCAAGGAACACCAGCACATTTACTGTGTGTATACAGGCTCAGCTATAAGGTCCAGACAGTGTAGTGCTATAGCCCAGTACATTAATACACCCCCTTGTTATAAACTCTGGATTATGGAAAAACAATATCCCCACAGCTTGATACCTAATATTTCTTTCTTCTTGCACAAAACAAGTACTGTTCGTGATAAATATCAAGATGGATTCTCCTTCTGTCAGGGGGCTAGAAAGTGAAATATCAGTTTAATTATATTATAAAGATAACATTTTTCATGAATTTAATATTTTTTGACACAGAGCTTGTTGGTTCTCCCACAAGGGACTAAAACAGGAAGCAGCATGACTACAAACACAAAACAAAACTACTTTTTTGCCAAAATAGTACTTTGATAGCAATAAGGTGTCCAAATGATATATTTTGTAACTACTGGCTGTATTGCAATGTTAAGTACCTTCAGGATTAAAATCTTTAGGGGCATCATTTTAAAACAACCACAGAAATAAAATAATGAACTCAGGAAATGCAGAAGGTAGTAATTCGCTTGGCAAACACGGCAAACATACATAACTCCTGCAGCCTTGATGTTCAAAGTATCTACTTTCTGTATGGTTGTCTGGGAACTACTCCTACAGGGATAAAGTGAAATGACTTGTTTTCTATTTGATATAGCAACTAGTTTCACTGGATGCCAGTTTTCTGAAGCACTGCCAATATTTATTGTAGCATTTTGTCTCTCTTGAGCAATTACGTAGGCTACAACAATATAACTACTGCATCGGTTCCAAAATCATCACATCTGCTTTAACTTACTCCCATCAGTAACTAGTGCAATTATGAGTAAAACTATGCACCATTAAAACCTGCACCTTTTTAAAGTCAACTCAATTAGCAAACATGAACCACATGGCCAGTGGTCAGATTAATGAGGACACCTGGTAAAAAGGGAAATCTAGACTTAAAAATGGTGCATGCAATATTTTATTATGCATCTTAAAGGGAAATGTAATGTTACATATATTTTATTGGCACTGTTACTCAGATTCTGCTATCAAACTAGTACTGGTGTTAATAGTAACACCAGATCTGCAATTTCCCTCACGGGATCAATAAAGTATCTATCTACCTAACAGACAAACTTGAACTTGGATAGTTTGGTCATTGCTCTAGACATCATTCAGATGCAGGAAAATCCATAAGCTGGTTGGCTGAGTAACAGGGAAACTGTAGAGAAGGAGAACATAGAAAGTGAATTTCTATAACTTCACAGTGGGAGGAAATCATTTCATACAGTAATACACTGATTTTTCAGAATAGGTATCAATGATTATCCTTTAGAAGTGAAGGGTGTTCTGGAAGGATAATGAACAATTGAAATATGCACATATTTCAATCCCACATGATATGGCTGCATAACCTGAAAAAGCAAAGGCTGTCATTGAGAAGCGATCCCTATTTTCTCCAGTGCAGGGTAGAAATGTTCCTGCTTGGAAAATGGACAATCAGGACTATACTATGCCTTTTTAAAAAACAGTTTCTACCACGATAGAGAACAAAAGCACAAAACCAGTGACTGCGGTTATGTTTGAATACTCTGGTTAAGAATCAGGCCTGATTTAGGCCAGCCCTGCCTAACATAAATCTGACTGACTTTGGCCCTTCATCGGAGTGAAGCTGTCAGCATACAGGTTCTAGAGTCACATCTTGCCATGATCAAACTTCCGAAAAAAGTTTCTGATGTCCATCTCTATGGTAAGGGTAACAAAGCCATTTCTAAGGCTGTGTGGCTGAACCACAGTCCCTATAAAGAACATGAGTGCTCATCTCAAGTTTGCCAAAAGGCACCTGGGTGATCCTCAAGAGATCTGGAACAGTGGTCTGTGGACATGGAGTCAAAAGTGAAACACTGCATTCCACAGTAGGAACATTATGAGGAGGAAGTCTCATGGTCTGGGCATGCTTTGCTGCATCAAGACCTGGACAACTTAAAGGGGCCACGAATTGGCTGTGTGCCTGTGTGTCTCATGGAGAGCAAGCTGGGGTATGCGAAAAGACAAGTTTCTTACACAAGACTTATTATCTTAACTGTGCTCTGGATCAGAGAATTCTGCAGGACAATATCAGGCCATTCTTCCGTGAGCTGAAGCTGAAGCACAGCTGGGTCCGAAACACACAAGCAAGTCTACATCGCAATGGCTGAAGAACTAGAAATGTAGAGGTTTGGAATGGCACAAAATCCTGACCCAAATTTCATGCCTGGACCTAGAATGAGCAGTTCGTGCTCGAAAACCCACAAATTTCATTGAGTTGAAGCAGTTTTGTATGGAACTGTGGGCCAAAATGTCTAAACAGCACTAAGAGAGACTGATCAATAACTACAGGAAATATCTGGCTGCAGTTATTGCTGCTAACAGAGGTGTGACCATTTATTGAGTTTACTTTTTCACATGGCATTGGGTGTTGTATGACTAATAAATAAATGAAGTATCTAAATTGTGTGTTGTTGGTTCTGTCAGGGTCCCTTTTATTTAATATTTTTGGTTGTAGATCTGATAACTTTCAGACAGGGGCAAATACTTTTTCAAGTCACTGGTAATTATGTTCTTTAACCATAAACACTATATACCATAGTACATTATGAACTGGCTATTGATTATTTGCTACTTGGATGAACATATCTGTATCTGTGGAGATGATTACAAAAGGATTTACAGTCCTGCTGACAACTAAGGTCTCTTTGCGTTGCGAGTCGAGGCTCATTGTGACAATGATAATATAGCTCTAATATTAGCAATGCATAACTATCATATTCAATTTTATTTTAAGGAAATGGAATGGAAATTGTTATTGCATCAAATTATTTTGATGTTTTTTTGCTGCCATAAATCTTGCTTGTTCTTTTGGTATTTCAAAGCTGTGCTGACATTTAAGAAGCATCTAGCATTTTGGCTAATTGGAATGCCCTTAGCTGTTGAATTTAAACTTCCAATGCCTAGAGTCAATATTTACCTACTAAACAGGGTGATCATATCTAGTACAATTCAAAGGTCCTCTGACCTTTCATAACAGACCAATACATTTAAAATGGTATTTAAAAAAACACTGCTGTCAAACACATAGTGAATTTAAATCTTAACGACAGCATGTGAAGAGCAGCCCTTTAAAATGAGCTTCATGTTGTCAAACTACATCTCTCAATAGATACACATTAATAAATTACCAGTTATCACCAGTTTAAAATTGCTGCTTGCTTTCCTGAGCAATATTTAAAGCACAAAACCTTTCAATTGCAAAAGCAAGAAAAGAACAAGAAAATGCTTTTATCTTTTAATCTTAACCTTTTAAGCTTTTGTGGATCACAGACATTCCTCTCACTGATTGACACAAATAAAACAATAAAAATATAACTGACTTTATAGTCAATTGTACAAACTTACCTGGATTTTTCTTCCTCTTGAATAAAGATCTGACCATGTGGACCACATCATAGTGTTTGCCATAGCGTCTAGACTTCATCTCATCAAACCATTCCCCTGTCATGATCTTCAGCTGTCTTGGGTCAAAGATGGACGACCTTAACTGCCTGCCACACAAGAGCAAGAAGGATATGAGCCCAATGAGGCTTCTTGACATTTAGCTGAGAAGATCAAAGAATGAGTAAGACCTTTAGCACTTAAGGTAAGCCAGCATTATCTGCTGCCTTTTCGGCCTTCACATAATTTAAATAGTACAACCAGATGCAGTTTTTGGTCTTTGTAAAAAAAAAAAGTCTCTCTTTTCTAGCTTTAGTTTCGAGAACTGATCTAATAAGAGGGCCTTTCCAGTCCTCTCAGTTATAAAATGTTGCTACAACCAAGTCTGTAAGCATTTAACCGATCATCAGAAAAATCAATATACTATAGTAACAGCAACTAAGCTGATTCTACCAGAGAACTGCAATGCAGCAGATTGGATGGGACATGTTGTGTAGATCTGCCTTAGATCTAATCCACACGATACAATTTCACTTAGGACTATAACCTCACCCAAGCAGTCTTAGGCAATATGTAAACACATGAAAAATGCAAGTTCACATCTCAGCATACAAATTGATTTTACACAGTGCATATAGATCTTAGCAACAGCTATCTAACAAAATCTCTTATTTTGGACTATTAGGCCATTTACAGTAGGTTAGTCTGGACTTAGTAAAAATATCATAAATTGAAAGTTCAAGGGGGTTGTAATGATCAGGAGTCAAGAATCTTTAACAAGAATTATAAGACTATCTTCTATGGGTCATATAGCTAAAATGTTAGGAACTGACTCCCTGACAAGGTTGCTTGAGATTGTGGATGTTGGTATTTTTCTCACAGATAAACTTTGAATAAGCCAGTCAGGTGTTGCTACTCATGATGGGACCTTTTCAGATGAGCCCAGGGTGACGTTACTTGTCAGTGTGAATGATTCCAGTTTAGGTTGATATTTGCAAGGTCACAGCTCAGAAGAAGACATTTTGCGAGACTAGACTTGAGGAGAGATCAAAAATCTTCAGGAAAATTTTGTGACGGTCACGGAACGAAATTCCGAGTTATTTTGGAATGTCCCCAGGTGTTTAACGACCCAAATGTAGTTTTCCACACCTGAACCTTGTTTTGTTTACTTCAGCTTGACCTGTCTCCTAGAATAAAACAAGTATTTATTCTACATGTAGGCACATTCAGCATTTGATTTTTTTACTTTACATCTGTCCTTCATACATTCATGTGCTACACTGAAACGGAAATAAGACGCAAGGTTTTACTACAAAGCTATTGTGCAGTTTGTGAACCCAATAATTACTGTAGTGCCCATTACTTACATAATGCCCTTGTTGAAATGGAAGCCCTTCTTTTATTTAATGACCAAAAGGGCTCATATTTATGAATTCAATGTTTTCTGAAATGCAATGGTGCATGAAGTAGAAAAAGATTAAAATCAATTCCCTATAGATTGTGAAACACTTGATTGCTCTAGGTTAGAGTGATGCTTTTCTGATGTACTGTATAGAGCTGTCTCTTGCCTCTTACCTGTTTCTGTGTAATGTAACATTCACAAACGTAGTAATTCCAAATACATACAGTACTTGCAATGATACAAGGTTGCATGGTTTTTGTTTTAATGGTGCTGGTACTCAAGGAATTTAGATATAAGCTCTCCATTACTTAGCCATTTGAAGTCCTGTTTTTGCCCGATGTTCTCTTCAGGACTCTTCTCCTTGATCATCGCTCCTTCAGATATTTTTGGCGTTTCTGCACTTTCCATCATAGCTCAGATGCTTCTGAATCTCTCTGTGCAGCCATGCCTGCTGGCACCTGGCCCGTTCAGACGCAGACCACGTCGTCTGTGCGACAGCCTTTGCCACGAAACGGCCTCCAGTGCAGAGGAACATGCAGCCTTCCTCTGTGCACCGTGTCGTCACCTTCGCTGGGTTCACAGATTCCCAGTCTTTACCTTCACATGGCATACTGTAGCAATTGCATTGGTTTATTTTGGAAACTGCACTGTTTTTTGCTAAAAGACTACCTGCTCTGTGAGTGAAGCCAGCCACCTTATCTCTTGGGAGACAGCACAGGCTTTTAAACATTTTAAAGTTCCACATCCATGTCTATCACTCCTCAGCGCTAAGCAAGTGTCAGTGGAAGCACATCTTGTAGCTTTCTTAGAGATGTGAAAATTGGAAGAGAAATATGTCCAGAAAAGCGCTATATAAATGTAAGCAATTATTATTACATTTCAGTCCAGTTTGAACTACAGTAGGTCTATCATAGCCAGCTTTGACCAAATCAGAAACACACAGACCAGAACAGTAGACTATTCCAGATATCTATCAATAATTCAGAATTTCTTGGGAAGATCAGGGTCCAGTGATCCCAGGAGAGGCAATGTGTGGTGGCACACAATGCAACACTAGCATCCTGAACTGCGGCCAGACCATGTCTGCTTTTGCTGCACTAGCAGGCCAAAATTGGAGTCATCATCCTGGGCACTCACGGACAACTGAGATGGAGCTAGGTACCAAAACTTAACCACCTCTAGAAAATTCCCAAAATAGGTAAGAAATGTATCCATTAGCACAAAGGACTAAGAACTAGCTTCATATGATATTGCCTGTGAGGGATCAAATATAATGTGTAGAAAATGTAATTGGATTATTTAATGTTGAGGATTTTGGGGTGGCTGAATTTACTATATTTCCCTAAGTTACTAAGTTTGCTTCTTATAGATTTCATTGACTTCTATCGAAAAATATATCAACCGTGATCATTACTTAAATAGATTATTAATAACCACTTGATTTCAAGTCCCACAACACTTGAAAAGCCTGTCCCAAAGGTTATCAAAGCAATACAGTATGTGCATTTTATGTTCCACATCACTTTCAAGGAAAAAAGTTGGGATTAAACTTGAATACAACTCAATTTCCCCTTATCAGCAACATGCCAAAAGTGTTTTAGGGGTTACTGACGTATTTTCTGAAAAAAAAAAAAAGTAAAATATGGTGCTACTATTATCACAGTATAAAAAGTGAGCCCAGGGTTATATTTCTGGTCAAAGTCATTTTCTCACTTTAGGAAATCTCCACATTCACGTTTTCTAGTATTGTCTAAGGCAACTGGGCAAAGGCTCTGGTTAGCAAAGATGAAAAAGAGTTTAAGACGAAATGTCAATATAAAATAAGACACCTTGTTTAAAGTGGAGTGATATGATACTAATAAGACACCCGAAGAAGACTCCACAGCTGAAACGTGGTTCTTTTCTTCTCTTTTCAGCATGGAATAAACCTTTACTTGTTCCTAATAAGACTCCTGATGAGGCAGATAGCACATTTTAGATAACTAGAGTCTTTGTATTTTATTTCTTCAAGACCAGCAATCAGAAATTCAACACTGGTCACGAAGAGCTCATGTGAATGATATGACAGCTGTCATCAACTTAGTTTAGAAAACGAGTGGGCAGCTTCAAAAGCTTTCTCTCCTCTCCTGAGCCTTCTATTCTGAGTGAATGACAGCGAGCACATGGCCAGCTCCAGAGCTCATTACGGAGATACGCCAGTCTGACTTACATGGCTGCACACTTATTGACTTGGATGAATGAAAACTATTATATATTCATTGGAGAAGCCGACTTCAAATGTAATAAACCTAAATGTGCACTTGTTTGATGCACAGGCAGAAATAATTAGCATGTGTTTTAATCAGTGAAACACTGGCTTTGCATAAAGCTTCAAAAAGCAAAGACCTCAGGAGCAGCAAGAAGAAGAAATTTCTATCACTTACTGTAGGAAAGGGCACTCCAAAATCATTTCATTATTGAAGGCTGGGCGCATTTTATAGGATCAACTTGCAAAAAACTTCAATGTATTACAGCCCTTATTTAATCCTACTGTATGTTTTGCACCTTCAAAACACTTAAGGTGAATTCACCATCTCTTTATGGCACAAAATAAAGTGTAAAAATAATTTACAGAGACAATATAATTGCCGAAATGCACTTACGATCCAAATGATTTATGTTCAAGGCTTTTAATTGTGTCTTTAGAATAAATTAAATTGTATTTCAGCTGCTGATTGTTTCACAACATTAAAAGCAGAAAATGGTTTAAATTTATTATATTTTCACTGAAGTGTAATTTTTCAGCGTCCTTAAATATCTGGAAGTTGCAATTGATTTCCAAATGTATTTAATGGTTTTGAAAACCAAGAGAATGATTTGGTTTAATATCAAAATGTTTTCTTTTATTCAAAGATGCTTACCTCAAGAATAAAAGTGGTCTGAAAAGCAATTTACCATGCAGTGCTGGACATGTATTGTAAGAGCAGTACTGAATCCTTGAATTGCGCTGATAGAATACAGATGTATATACTACAGCATAATACAACGTCCATGTTTCACTAGAAAACATTAAATATTTTACCTGATCAGAATTTAATTTTAAAAGATTTCCTGACTGAATTCAAGCCCTGACAACTTGGAACATAAACAGAATATACCCCCTTAACCAACAGAAAGAAAAGCCTTTTTCTCCACAGCCAGGAGATCCAGGATATCTTCAAGACCAGGGATAGTTATTTTTGATTGAAAGTAAAGGTTACCTACTTTATGCATAGGTTACCTAAAATGGACACCCCTGGCTCAGGAACCCATCAAGCCATTAGAAATGCTTATGTTCTGGCCATCCAGAACCCAGTTAAGACCAGGACAGAAAAGGTAATCAAGCAAGAGTTCAGTTCAGGAAGGCTGAGGCTCAACCTACTATACACTGGCAGCTGACAGGAAGGAGACACCAAGAAACATGGCTGAAAGTTAGAACTGGTTAAAGCAACTGATTTATACAGATTTGTTTTTGGCTTTTTTTCTAGCATTTATCTGCAACATTTTCTCATGAAAATGTTATCCCTTTCTGTATTTGTCTACATGTACCTCTCCCTCCAACTTGAGCTCCTGATGACTGACCATCGCTCCTGCAGGACTCAGGAGTGATGGTCAACTAGTGTAGGCCTTCTGTTACCGAAAACAATCAATAACAAACGCATATATTACAAAATTATTTTGTAAGTCTAC